ATATATATATATGTGTGTGATAAAATACACAAATACTCAAATAAAATGACAAAACAATTTTAGAAAGGGCCAAATAAAGAACAGTATACCGGTTAAAATTTGAAAATTAGATTAAAAGCATCTTACAATTAGTAGTAAAAAAAATGAATAAGTCATGCAATTTCTTACTTGTTACATCTTTATCAATCAACAACGTGTGAGGTATACCATTTTTTTCCCCTTCCTCTTAAAGGATTAATTTACTGAAAGAAAGAGGGAGAAAAAAATAAAATAAAACCGAACTGAAAGTAAAACGAAAACTGGTCTGTTCAAAAATTTATCTACGATCGCTTCTTGTTTGACATTTTGTCAACGCTCGGAATTTCGTCGACGAGGAGCTGGAAGAGGGGGGAGGGGAATTGATTCCAAAACCGGTTGTGATAAATAAGAAAAGTATATATATAGATATTTATATATATATACTATCATTTTCTGTAATTATTTTATTTTTATTCTCAGTTTATTTTCTTCTCTTTATTTTTTTAAAGGAAATTATTTATACATTCTTTTATATAGCATTACGCTAAATTTTTTCCCTTAGATTTATGAAATTTTCCACGGATGTATTTTAATTCCGCACATAAGAAAAATGTATAAGCATGATTTAAATAGCCTTAAATTTTATATACAATGTTGAAGTGATTAAATTTAGTTAAATATTAAATTTAGAATTCATTCACACACTGGAAACACTTTGCCAAATAATTTATAACTCAAAAGTAGTATTTTCAAATTTCTTTTTGTTGTTATATAATTAAAAAAAAAAGTTTGATAAAATTGTTTGATTTCCCTCGTAGATGTCAGTTTTTTCCTCATCATTGCTACGGATTTATCCGACAAGTGACAAAAATTTTGTCAAGGAATATTTTCCGGAGAAAATTTATCAAACTCTTCTGCCTTGTTAAGCTATTACTATTTGTTTAAGGATAGTGTTTTCAAGAATCCACCATCCCTGGGAAATTTTAACCGAATTTCAATCTGTTGCAAAAGATATTATCTTACTGAATCTACACAATAGTCAAATTGAATCTATACATTATTTTTATTTTCCAATATTGGTTGCTAAGTAATGAACTTGTCTCGGTTAAAAAAAAATTTATACACCGTGGAGTGTTCTTTCGTGAGAAGTGTTTGATAAAATTCTTTGACTTTTTTCCGGTCTGTAACAGATTTTCTCCCACCGCTCATTAGCAATGGATTTTTAAGAAGATAAATTTTCCTAAAACATTGAACAGTGTCTTCCGAATACTTGTTATTTCATTGATTATTATTCCTAGATTTATTATTTTCTATAATTTTGCTCTAGATATACGTATATCACCATAAACTAGCACAAGAGTAAAAGATTAGAAATTAATTGGAATATGGGGATTATGTTATCTATGACATTTATTAAAATTAATTTCATCTCAGGTAGTAATAAACGTTATTATAGTTTATTCACTTTTATATAGTTTATTTACCTTCATATAGTTTATTAACTTTTACCTAGTTTATTTAACTTTAACAGGTGATCAGAAAATCCACATCATGGGCTAGAACAATTCATATTCATGTTTTTGTTCCTTTGATTAAAATACTTTTAAATATGCTTTTGTTTAGAGTCCCTATAAATAGATTCAGATCAACCACACTTTTAATGTTGCAGAATAGGACTTCTGCTGATTTGATTGTATCAACCAAACTCAGGGTAAACTCTAACTACATCTGAAAAATGTTTTGTAAGCAATATCTTTTCCGAGTATTATCGAATCTGCATAATGGTCAAAAGTAACATTGAAATTTCGAACCGTAATTTAGCTTGCGTCATGCCCTTCCTACTCATTTTACCCTATGGATACCCTAAAGAAACTTTTTTCAATTTCATACATAAAATCTGTTTACTGTGATTTTACTATGCAACACCTTTTCTCCTTTATAACCCGTTGACCTACCCCAAATTGTTATAAAATATGTATAAAGCGGGATGTTAATAGGTCATTTTCATATGGTTCTTGTAACATCACCAACCCTGAAGCTCCGTTTGGAAAAACTATGCACTGTAAAAAATGGATACTCAAATTACAAGAAATTTTCTTAGTTTTTGATGAAACCATTTCCAGGTACATGCTACGAGCGAACATTTCATCAAAGTGGCAAAATAACTGTCATCACTTCTTCGAAAAAGCAAATTTTGTCAAAAGTACAGAATTATTTCGTCATTCTAGTTTCGATCATCCAGTTTTTATTCTAGTGTCGTCATTCCTACGAGGTATATTCTCCCATAATGCACTGGGATGAGGTTTTCAATTGAAGAAATAATTTAATACATTTGAGAGTTTGCATATCACAGTTCATGCGATTTCGCGACGAATTAATTTTCAAAGGTGACGACATATAGCTGAAGGATTGCTGAATCATCAAAAGTAAGAGTTTTCTGCGAGTGTGAAATTATGAAAGTTTTAAAATCACTGTATTTATAAATTTTAATTACACCAATGGAGCAGGGTAGCAGGGATAGCAATGGGGAATCACTTAGAATAGGCGGTGTTTTAAAGACTGCATAACAATTACATTACACTTGCAATCAAGTCAACAACTATCTATATAAAAGACTTAAAAAAACAACAACACTTTTTCCCCCAATGCACAACAACTAAAGCAACTAATTACAAAGATTATATTGTAAAAAGTAAAAGTAACAGATGGGAAAGTTACATTTCATATTGCTTTTGAAAAAAATTGCTTAAAGAATTTTATCCTGATGCCTTAAGTAGTCAACCCACTTAAAATTTTGTGAAGCATTACACTCCTTTTTTTGTCTCATATTATTTTATTAATTTCATCTATAAATTTTAAACGTTTTTTAAATGATTATTAGTTGTTTGGGTAAAATTAAAAAAATAAAGAGATAGTCTAAAAGTGTTATTTTTTCGCAGGTTTCAAAACCCTAGTCATAAGAGCTGTTTATCCTGGGCACCTCACTGGAGTGGCCACTTGTAGGTCGGCCAGGAGGAGGTGCTGCAGCCTTTGGAGCCTACACGACGATGCCCCATAAAGGTAGACATTATTTCCTTTTAAATTTTCAAACAAATCCCATTTTTTTATAATTTTATTTTTATTTTTTTGCAAATCTTACAGCGGTAGATTTAAAAGTTTTTGCTAGGAAAACCTTTTAATTTTTATATACATATATTAATTTTACTTATTTTTGCAATTTACTGGGGATTTTTCCGATAAAAGGGAATTTAGTGTCTTACGAAAGCATTGTTCCTACACTATGTCCTTACGTAAGCTTTGCTCATACCTGATAAAAACATAATTAAGCACACCACAAATCCCCTTATGTACTTATACTATATTTGAACTGTTCTTTAGAGGGAAGTTTTAATGTACATTTCTATTTCATAGCTTGCAAATAAATTTATCCTTTAGACAATAAACTTATACATAGCTTGCAAATAAATTTATGAATTTAGCAAATAAATTTAGCCTTCAAGCCCCCGTTTTGTCTGTCATGAGATTGACTGATTAGCCCTCTCAACTATAATATGTATTCAGCAGCAAGGAGCAAAGTGGCTTCATTAGGTTAGCCAATTTCCTAGTGTAAAATTATGGCTTTTTAACCATATTAGGTAAAAACAGTTAATAAATGATTTTTCGCACAGTTAACGGTTTGAATGGCTTGTTATTTATGGTTATTTGACTGTTTTGTTTGAATATGTTAAAATAACACTTAAGTAAATTGATATTTTATCATTTTCTCGGAGAAATTTCTGACAGTGTAGAATGTTTTTTTCTTCTTCTTCTTTCGAATGCCACTTACATGTAATTACACAAAATATACAGATGGGAAAAAATCGTAATAACAAGAGCTTTTTAAATTAACTGAATTTATAAAGCAAATAATAATTGTTAAAAAGATATTTCTTTATAGTTAATGTCTGCATGCGCTAAGCCTATCAGCTTATCTGAACTTCACCTTACTTTAATAAGCTATCATTAAATATTTTTATAATAAATGAAAGTATCTCAGACAAGATGACTATGAATTTTTGAGGACAATGAGGATTTTTGATGACTATGAATTTTTGAGATGACAAAATATAAAAATCTAACCACGTATATGGTTTGCTTAATATAATTTCCATCGCAATGCTTATTAAAAAATTAAGTAAGGTGTTTCAAAAGGAAATTACAGCATATATCATTATTATAGCAATTTTTTTAAAATTTTTTTTCCAAGAATATAATTGACATTTCTTACTTACAACTTAGCAAACTTAGTTGTAATAACTAAAAGCTATAGAAAATTAAGTTAGGGAGTAATAATTATACGCAATATAGCTTAAAATTTTACAGCCAGAATGATTCGTTTTCAAATGGCTTTTTACCATCATGCATTTAAAGAAAATTAAAGGCGGTAGATATTATTAACTATCTTTGCATTAGCAGCATTGGAATAATATAATTTATGCTAACTGTATTTACTTATAATAACGACTATGCAATTACATTAAGTTTTCAAAAACTAATTTAATCTGTTTTGAAACCTATCTGGTTAACTCTGAAACAGTTGTCGAATGTGTGGAGATTAGGACCTCTTGAAACAATATCAAGGTCCATCGGCCAGCACAATATTAGGGCCTTGATATTGTAAATGATTTAGTAAACCTCAGGTGAAAATGTAAGTTGGTTACAGTGTATAGAAAATAAACGATTCTGTAGAAACTAAATGTTGTTTACAACGCTTGGAGCGTGAACCCATATCTTATCTAAGATTCAGAACAAGAAGGAAATATAATTGACGTGTCCCTACTTTTGTTTATTTTTATTTTTTTACACTCCCATCTCAAATGGTACATCATCAATCAAAAACTACTAAAACGTTGACGTATGGACCATGGGTATTATCATTCAATCAATCTGCAGAGTTTATAAGCGCATGTCTTTACTTTTATTCTGCGAAACTTAATAATTATATATAGTGTTATATTCCTTTTTTTATGTATAAATTATTAAAGTTAGAATTTATTCAAAGTAATGAACTAAGAACTCAATGCTTTCTTGATAGCGGTAGTATTCGTAAAGATCAAACCATACAAAATTCCCCTCTTCCCCAAGTAAGGAAAAAATTGCTTAAATGGAAATAGTAATTCTTTTGATAACTTTATAATTAAACATTCTTTTATACAATTTATTTTCTGTGTTACTATTGTACGTTTCTTTAAAATGAAAGAAACACTCAGTGTGGAGAAAAAAAAACAGTAATGCTACTTTTAAATGTTACTTTTAAATTAATGATAAAGCATTAAAAATATACGATGAAGAGGAAAATAACGTAATGATCATCAAAAAGTTGATTTTTTTGATAATGGGTTGACTGATAAGGGGATTTTATTTATTCATTATCTTCGATGTGTTATTTTAATAACGATGATGAAGAAAATAAATTCAGGTAGGTCTGTCCAGATAGTAGTGCATTTGAGTCTATAAATAGTTTTGAGTCTACGAGTACTTTTTAAGTATTTTAACTTGAATATTATTAGTACTTGACTCAATGAAATCATTATAGTGCTTCAAGTGTATGGTTATTATGGGGCAAAGAATTCTGGCATCTTATTAAATTAAGAGTTGTGGGAGGAATTCGGGCATTTACACAATACACATTTGGTGGCATCACTTTACGACCACCATTATATCGGTATTCTAAAAATATAATCAGTTTTTAATACTTTTAATTAATAGTTAATCAACATAGAAACAAACTATATCATAATTTAAATGTAATAAGGATGAACAAATCCTTTCAATAACAGAATTGGTAGTATTTTTTTTTTTTTTTTTTTTTTTTTTTTTTTTTTTTTTTTTTTTTTTTTTTTACTTTGCAATAACGGAATAGGTTGTGAATTTTCCAACCCGGTGAATTTGGTTGCCATCGCTTCACCCAAAGCTGTACTTGATAAATATTTTTGTTTCTATTTATATACTGTCGTCTACTGGTTTTGAATCTATTAAGAAATTTTTTTTAACCTCTATAGTCTTACGCTGTTCTTTGGTTTGAAATAGACTATAGCCATCCATTAACTTGTTTCAATCTTATGCCTTCAGGTGACTTGGGTAACTGATGAGGTCAGATAATCGAGTTCTATTGCATTCAATGTTGCATCATTATCTTTTAATGTTCAATCGATCTATTAAATATTTGACACAAACCAGATTTTTCTTTAATTCGACACAATATTTGATCTGCTTTGCAATTTTAATTGTTTACAAGCTACTTGTATTGTTTAAATAATATACGTTTAGTAATTTTTCAATTAGAGATATTTTGAATATTTTTTATTCTTTTGCAGGCCACAGTGGCATCAACCAGCTGGGCGGCGTGTATGTAAACGGTCGGCCACTGCCAGATTCCACACGTCAAAAGATTGTGGAACTGGCGCATAGTGGCGCTCGACCTTGTGATATATCTCGAATTCTCCAGGTTTCCAATGGCTGCGTCTCCAAGATCCTTGGCCGATATTACGAGACAGGCTCGATCAAACCCAGAGCGATCGGGGGTAGTAAACCCCGGGTGGCTACACCTCATGTGGTCGCCAAAATCGCCGATTACAAGAGAGAGTGTCCATCTATATTTGCTTGGGAGATCAGAGATAGGTTACTGTCGGAAGGGGTCTGCAATAATGATAATATACCTAGCGTAAGTCAATTATTTTAAATGTTTAGTATCATTGTTATAATTATTGTTATTATAGCTATGAAATTAACTAAAATTCTCCAGGGTACTTTTTTTTTTAAATTCATACAAAATTGATGAGTTAATTGGACAAACTAGTTGAATACATTTTTAAAAATACTTAGATTTTTGGAATGAAGAACATGTAACCGTCATCTATAATAACATGAAGTTATTTTATCTTCCAAGCTTTTGAATAGAACAATTTTAGGGGAAGTAGAAACATTTCTAAACATTCTAAAATATTTTTTTTCAAATTAACTCTGAACATTTTCTTTTAATTAGTTATCCAATTTCTAACTTTATTCTAAATATCGAGTGTCCTAAAAATGATCGACGATTTGAAAGATGATTTAAAATAAAAAAAGAAAGCAACAAGAAATGTAAATACTTAATAATCTGTACTTTACTGTAATTCAGTAATGTTCAAAAGTCTGTAATGTCACTGTGTTTCTTAAGTACTGTAAGGTTCAAAAACTGCATTGATATCCTGTGAAACCGGTTAATTTAATTAAAAATGCACAATACTGTTTACAACAAGTTGATTCCTCTGAAGGGATCATGAGAAAAAAAAGCTCCGTAATTTATCCACCAGAACGCTCTCGATATGATGCTTTCTTCAGAAATTGGAGGTGATTTATTGAAGATACGATTTATGCAATTATCTTCTAAAACATATAAGTGATAATTTTTCTCGATAAGCCAAGTGATAAGCCACGAAGTGATCTAGCAATTTTTAGATTGTAATGTGATTTGATAGATCGATCTACCACGTTGAAGGTTTCAACCGAACCGATTTTCCAATTTCTAAGACCAAAAAAAGTAAATTAACAAATAAAGTTGATTACGAAGTCTGGAAGACAGCTCATAAAGTCACACTTGAACTTCGTAGCCCAAAACTTCATGTCCCCTTAACATTTTATTAATTACTACATTTACAATAGTTTAAAAATGTAAAATCACAATTCTTATTATACTATTAAACTATTGTTTTGGATTACACATGGTCTACTTATTCACTTACAAATGCACAATATTTTTGAAAGTGGTACGAGTTAGAAAGAAGTTGGTACGAATTTGGCATCAGGTTTCCTAAACCATACCACATTCAGACACTGCGGAAAAAATTAATTTTCCTAACTTACTACACAAATATTATTACAAAAAAAAAAAAATTATATGCATCTGAAGGACTGCATTTTATCAATGAAATATTTCAAATGCAATTGTCAGTGATCTGTGACTGATGAAAATTCAAATATGAAAAATGGTACGATTCAGGCATCTTTCCTCTAAATTTGCTGCGTTCTACTCCAAAAACGATGTAATTTATTTTCGCAAAATGACAAAATTAGTAATAAATTTCGACAATGCCTTTTCGCCTTGCTCACTAGTGAAAACATAAAACAATGTTTTCGAAATAACCAACAGTGTCAGCAACAACGTGGCACAGCCTGAAGACAAAATTTCCAGGCGCCTTTGCTATTTCAATTGAATATGTCTGAATAGCAAAAAACATTTTCTTAACACCATGAATTAATTTTCTTTGTAATGACTTGCTTGTTATCAGCTTTTTTTTAAATCTTTCTATTAATAATCTCTCTATTAATATTTAAATTAATATTAATAATAGGAAATTACACTTTTATGGCATTGCTACATAGCCGGCGTTACGGTGAATTGATAGTCTAGTGTTACAGCCTTCGTAAAGTATAATTCAAATTCAAATTATGAACATACTTTCAAAGGGGCCGTTCCAATATTACGTGAGAGTCTAATAGAGATAGGGGTTTTGATAATTTGTTTATTTTTGCTGAATAGGTGGGAATAGGGGTATCAGCAATGCTTCGTAAGACATTAAAATCACCTTATTTTCCAAATTTTCTTAAAATGAAAAAAGGGGAAAGCAAAAAATATGCATAAAAATTTCAAATTTATAAAAGTCGAATTTGGTAGAAAATATTGGGAAAGAATTTCATCGAAGAGTTTTAGAGGTCAACAGTTTCGAACATAAAATAAAAATACAAATTATTCCTAAAAAATATTCTATATTCAAAATTTTAAGAAATGAATTAAAATATACATTTCGTTTCACGCAAAGTAGATTACTACAGTAAAAGTCAATGTTTAAGCAAAAAACTTGGGGGGGGGGGTCCCGAGTTCCTTATGTAAACATAGAAAGGGTTTTAATATCTTCTTATTTTTGCTGAGAAGGGAGGGGGGAGAAATCAAAAACAACCAAAAATATACTTACGTAAAATTTAAATAGCGCAAAAAATTTACGCTCTGATATCGATTTCTAACAAACTAAAATTTATTAAATTCCTTAACAATAGATTTTGATGGCACAATTTAAAATTATTACTAATTTTTTTTTTACAAACAGGAGAATGAGATGTAAGAATGGAAAATAATATTTAACTCCATTTCATTTAAAAAAAAAAAAAAGAAAGAAAAAAAAACTCTCCTCATTAAGGTTATTTTTCTGATTCATTTCTCACTTTGTCTAAGATAGGTCATAAGTTCAAGCATCCACAACGCCCTATAAAGCCAATCTAGAGAAAGGGAAAATACATGCAAAATTAAAAGAATTAAAGGGTAAATTTTGGCTTGTATGCACCACTTAAAACACATCTGTAAAAAATTAGGTTAAAAACAACCTTTAATTGGGAAACTTCTCAGAATCTGTGAGCACAAACAAGAAATGAAAGAAACAGTTTTGCCCCTTCTGTGGTTGCTAAAATCACAAGACTTTAAGCTCTTCAAATATTAATTGCCTTTATTTTAAGTACTAAAATTATTTATTATTAAATACCTTAACCTGTAATGAGAGCAAATGATTGTATGGTCAGTGTGATAAAAGTTGAGCCTTCTAATAGAGTAAATGGAATATTTTAAAATGCGCAGTTTTTTTATAAAGATTAAAATATATTTTGTATTCAAGAAATTTATTTGATTGAATAAGACTTTGTTAAAGTTATTTTCTAGAAAACCCTAAATGGGAGAAATTGCACATTACTCTTTTAATTTTTTTCTTCTTTTGGGATGGTAAAATAAATAAAATAATAATAAAAAAAAAAACTATATGGGCAATTTTAACGTGATGTTAGGTTTCTATGTGTTTAATTTTTAAAATATACTTTTATTAAATATGTAAGAGAATAATTTTTCAGAAAATATATTTTTTTAAATTAAGAAAAAGTAAAATGGAAAACATTTTAAAAAAAAAAGAGAAAGAAATTTTCTGAAAACTGGGAAAGTAAGCGCGCAAACATTACGTAAGCACTGTAGTGAGTAAAGAGCTTTGATTTTTAGTGAGAGAGGGAAGAAAGAGTTCGAACAATTTTAAGAATATTAGAAAATTACTTAAAAATTATTTCAAAGTATTTATTACTTTTTAAATTCCTCAATGGCGGCATTTTTATTTATTTATTTATTAAAGAAGTGTACAACTTGTATAAAGCGATATCATTATAAGGGGACACTGTAAAAAAAATTCTTGATCAAATTACGGTATAAAGAACTTTGGGACATCATTCGTAAAATCCCTTTTACCGTAACTTTATTTTTACAGTAAAATATTATACCGTCCGTAATCTTTGCTGTATTTTTCTTTTTTTTTAATTAGCGGGTGTCAGTGATTTTCGGTAATTATTACTGTAAAAATTACACTATATCAGAATTTTTGTTCCAACAAGAAAGCTTTTCACGGTAAAAAGAGCAAGCATCCTGAGTGCTAGTACTTTTTGCCGGAATTTTTTACAGTGTAGGCCCAAATAAAAATAACAAAGGGGGAAATAGTCAAACTCAGTTATGTTGATTTGTCTAAAAAAATTAATAGAATATAATTATTCTAATTTTAAGAAAAAAATTGTAAATGTTGAACACTACAAATTAACTTGTCTAACTAACATTATTATTCTAGAATAAAAAATTTGAATAAAAATTCAGCTGTTTAAAATTCCACTACCTTTTATTCCCCTGTCATTCATTTTTTTTCTCTGAAACTTTGGAGCAACTGAAGCTGTCAGATTTCACGTCAAGAAATCTTTATTCTCGTCTTGTCAGCTGATTGTGACGGTCACTTTGCAGGGGCTTCACCCCAGCGTGATGTCTCCACAGGGACCCGATGTCGGTCCCGTTTGACGCCCCGGTGGGTCCCGCGCACAACTTTATCAATAAAGGTACTTTTCTCTCCTCTCATGGGGTGTGCGCAAATAAAAAAAGAAACTGATGCCGGGTGTTGATGGAGAACTTAAAAAGAATTTGTTTTCTTTTCATTACCAGTAACAGGGGTTGGCCTATTGGAGTTGCTGAAGCGATAAATTGTGCCGCACCACCTACATGCAGCTCTTTTCACAGTAAAGCATAGAAGTTTGGGGAAGACTGACAATTGCATTCAGTGACCATGATTATATTCAACGCTGGTGTTCCTCATTGATCCAATTCGAATATTCCGTTGTCACTAAATTTAATTTTTTTAAGCTAAAAATAAATTTAACAGACATTACATTTTTAACTCTACGTAATGCCCTATTGAGAAAAGTATCAATAAAAACGACACGGATTTCATTATTTCTGTGGATCTCAACTCTACGTAATGCCCTATTGAGAAAAGTATTAATAAAAATGACACGGATTTCATTATTTCTGTGGATCTCAACCATGTTTAACGACATAAATTTTATTATATCATTGTCGTTATATTTTGTAAATTTTTGTAAAAATTACGCTTTTTAATTCCACCAAAAAAAAGTTAGTTAAAACTTGGCAGTTTCGGCTTCTACGCATAAAATGCATGATGCAAATTAATAGGTTAAAAGTTTTTTTCTTCCATATTTTAAGCTATTGATTCACAAAATTGCCATTTCAAATTGTTTTTTCTTCCGGAATGTTTAGAATAAAATGTTTATTTTCCTTCCTCCGTTTTTTTTTCTTTTTTACTTTTCTATTGAAAGCCTTTAACAAATTTTTAAAAGAGGGGCTTGCAATAATTTTTAGTAGAGTACCCCTATGTTAAATCGCATTTGCCAGAGGATAAAAAAGAAAGAAAAAGGATTATCTAAACATACATGCATTGCATAGAAAGTCATTGTAGATAAATAATGAAAATAAATTAAAAATAAAAAACAGAAATAAATAAATTGTATCGTAATAATTGTAATAAATTAAATCGTTTTAAAAATATCAACAAAAATCATGCTTGCTTTTACTGTTGTTTTGCTCGCATGCAGTTCTTTGTATACAATCAAGGCTACTTCTTTTAAGTGCAAAAAAATTAATTTTCAGTGCTGAATTGCAAAAGGGAATACTGTAGGTGCCGATGCGATATTAAGAGGAGAATTACATTTCTATCACCATTTGAATTCTATTACCTTAATGATGCACGGACTTCATGGTCAGAGACCTGATCATGATGTCCGAAAGGGCACTAAATTAATAAATAAAATGAATAAAATTAATAATGAAGGAATATTGGGGACTACTGAATAATGTTTTTTTGTTCAAAGCAACGTTTGCATTAAAATAAAACATTTGATAAATCATTTTTACACTGGTAAAAATCTTCATTAAATAAATGACGATGTTAATAAATATTTGAAAAAAAAATGTTACTGACCGTAAATTTTAAGATTAATCGCAGGTACAGACTGCTGCCAGTAATTTTATCATAATTTTAAAATGAAAATTCTAACAGTGAATGTGCTATTTAGCGAAGGCTAGTGAATGTTTTGATGCTCATAGCAACTTTATGTCTTGCATTAAAATTGAAAATTTGATTAATCATTGTGACGTCGGCTAATATCATTGTGAAATAAATGACCTGGATAATATGTATGATGCTAAGAGTGTATCATGTAAATAATCAATATTAAAAGACTTAAGTCACTGATACATTCTTCTTAACACTCCTGTATTTGATGCGGGATTTGTTTACAGATCACTTCAAAGGGATATTTTCATTTTCCTGTCAAACAGACAAATGAACAAATATAAAAGATTACATCATCAGTATTTGCCATCTTGGTAAATATGCAACCAAATATTTGAGATCCCTATAGCAGAATGAATTTACTTAAAATAAAAGTTAATTAAATAAATGAAGTTGCATATTATGACAGCTTGTAAATCTTTCAGCTTGATGCGGTATTTGCACAAGTTCATGCAAAAGGGCGAAGAGCTTCGCGTCATGCAACTTGCTTATGAACAAAATACAGATAAATATTAAAATATTGTGATGCAATTATAATACATTTGTTTACATTTTTCAAATAATAATAATAATAATAACGAAGAAGCGTATATACTTTTGAAATTTCTGGGAAAAAATATTACCACATTTATACTTAGCGTTATTTTAAAGGACTTAACTTTAAAAAAAAAAAAAAAAGAAGAGGAAAAGAAGAAGTGGTAGCCCCATTGTTTAATTTTTTGGATTTATTTTGTAAAAACAAGATAGTTCTGTTTAACATAAAGCATTAATATTATAAGTACTTTTACATGGATCTAAGTCAAAGCACAGTGCTTTGTTTAAAGTTGAAATACTTGGTAACAAATAGATATAAATTTGCATAAAAACTGCGTACTACTTTTTTTTACTGAGGTATTTTTCATATACAGACCGCTTTTTGTGACACGACAAAAATGGGTAAAAACGCTGATTAATTATTTATTCTTTACCTTAAAAACAATTTTCCTATTGAATTCAAGATATCACGGTAGAAACTTATTCTAGCTTTTCGTTTCTTTTATTAATTTATTCATTTATTTGTCTGGAATAAAAACAAAAATTATCCCTCTTTTATTTATAAAAGATTACAAAAAGATTATAAAAGATTATAAACAAAAAGATTGAAAAGATAAAAAGATACAAAAAGATAAAAAAAGACAAAAAGATACAAAAAGATTATAAAAGATATAAAAATATAAATCAGGTTTTAGATCTCACAGTGCTGTAAAAAGTTGCAAAATTTTTAATCGAGATAAATTACAAATTTATTATGATTAGCCTTTCCTTTCAAATGAAAAACCTCAAAACTATAGATTTTAAACTCAGAAGACAAGAGAACATCTGTATAAAAGTTCAGGAAAAAATTAAACTGACATAAAATTTTTGTAAAAATGAAGTATTTTTTTAAATTTTATTTTATAACTAAGCAACCATTAAGAAATGTCTCCACATTCTTGTATTTTTTTCATCTGACTTAGAAAAACAGGAAATTGTTAAACAACAAGCTTGCTTTGTGCAAGCCTTTTTGAACAAATCTAAATTTCCATAAATTTCCACATATGATCGGCTATCTCGTTAAATTGTATCAAATTTTTACACTGACTATTCTTATTGGAGAAACAAATCAGATAACATGATTCTTAATAAATAATGAAGATCCAAATATATTTATCTGTCATCAATTTGAAATTAATAAAAATTATTGTTTACTTTTTTATTTATTTGAGCAGATTTAAAGCTTAACTTCAAAAATGATATTTTTATTCTATTGCTCTATTATAATACAGTTATATTTTCCTTTAAGTATTTTTTATAACTCTTTTTTTTCCAGTTAACTTAGGACATTAAAATAAATTAGTATTTAAAATTATAAAACAATATTGGGGTTAGTTTTCCGCACTGTTGTTAAATAACATTTACGGTGATAGAACATAAATTTTTTTAATAGCAATCAAAAAATGAATAAAAATATATTTAACAGCTAGACGTATCAAGTTACTAAAGGCATGAAAATAGCATTAAAATAAACCTTAACTAAATTCCCCGAAATCGTTATAGTTACAAAACTTTAAGTTTTAAATTTTCCTTTCCTTTTTCTTCCTTTTTTCTGTAAACTTTTTTGAGAAAATTGATTTGCTTTACACTAATAGATTTGGAAAGCAAATTTTTAAATGGAAGTGGAACTCATTAAGTGGAAAGCGATCTGTATGAAGTAATGCTCTTTAGAAGGACAAGGCCCACCTCGGACTGTTGTTGCGTTGATGAGAAAGTAGTTAACTATTTTAACCGTTTTAACATGTGACCTACTACAGATACTAATTTTGAGTTGGTTTCGAAAATGAATAGTCGTCATAGCAACGGAAAATATTGAAGGACTCGCTTTGAGATCAAATATTTGAAGAAATTTTAATGGAAGAAAGAGACTGAGAAGGGGGGGGGTGAACAAATTCGAATTCAGATAAATCGTTAAGAAAATAAGATGGCATATTTCTTTTTAGTGTTAAAAATGTTTTTTTTTTCATTTATTGTAGATTCGAACATTATTTCTTTTGATTAAAGTGTAAATTGTGCTTTTCGTATAAGTTCATTTCTAATATGCTGATGAAAATTCTTTGTTGCAAATATTTCTATTCAAATGATTACATGAATATAATAGTTATATTTTCGAAGGCACGCTAAATTTGTCCTTTACATTGTCAACCGAAGTTGAGCTGTTTTTTATTGTTTTTTAGGTGTCGTCAATCAACAGGGTGCTCCGTAACCTAGCTGCTCAAAAAGAGCAACAACAACAACACCATCAACATCAGCTGACGGTGCCGGGCGCCGAGCTGGTTTACGATAAGTTAAGAATGCTTAACGGCGGCCAGCCCTGGCCCTGGTATCATACCGGGGCTTCTCACCTGACCGCGGCGGGCGTTCCTCACGGAACATCACCCGCGGGACTGTCAGCGGCTGCTGCCGCTGCTGCAGCAGCCACTGGCGGTCTTGTTCCTCCCGTTGTATCATCGGCTGGTCTGGGTGTATGCAACGGACAACACAACGGTAGTGATTCTAGTGCCAAAAAAAGTAAGAATTCATTTAGTATTTATATTAGACAGCATGTGCATTAAACTTGCTAATTCCATTTTGTTAATTATAATAAAAGTAAAGCTTAATATTTTTTAATGATATATTTTCTCATGAAGGTTTTTGGATGAGGGGGATACTTAATTGCTCATATATCTATTCTGTCAAAGAAAACAAAAAAAAAATTATTCTTTAAAGAAAAGTTTACTTATTTCGTAGCAAAGTATTACGCATTTACGTTTACACATGATATGATATAAAATGTAATTAAATATTTCACGTTATTACTTATAATATAAGAAGTGTTTTCATTATATATTTCATTAATAGGAAATTTATAGTAATATTTCCTTAGCCGATTTAAAAAAAAGTATTGATACTCACACAAAATATTGTTTTACCGTTTTGTTTCGGTNAAAAAAAAAAAAAAAAAAAAAAAAAAAAAAAAAAAAAAAAAAAATTATATATATATGTGTGTGTGTTCAATATGCTTAAAACCAAATTGATTGAAGCGAAACTTCCATTGACATTGATTTATTTTATGTTTGAAACAATGTATTTATCGATATAAGATTATTTAGCACTGTGGGCTGCGACCTAGTCATGCTTTTAAACTTTAGGGTCGAAAAATATTTGATTCGTACTTATTTTCTAAAATCTCTATTTTCAAGTCATAACTTTTCCTGTATCTATGACGCCTCTATAAATATTACGTAGGATTGTGTAAAAATTTCTCATCGGTTGAAAAAGTTAAATAAAAAGTTGATCTCCAGTATTGTGCTTACAAAATGTGCAGAGCTGAATGATTTTATTTAAATGATTACTTTGAATGTTAATTCAAAAATGTGTGACAAAATTGTTAAAACAAATGAACAAATTCAACTATTTTAAAAACGATAAGTTGTTAATTTTTTTGCCTAAGAGAATATAAATTGTGTAAACGTTGTAACAAATGTAACGTTAAACGCATGTAATTGTAAAAGGTTTAACAGATTTTTTTTTAAATATTTTAGTTAAAGCTAAAAAAATATCTAACAATTATTATTGTTTACGCTTGTCTATGATTCATGTATATTTATATATTTTCTTTTGTTAAATTAAGACAATGTTCAGGAATTCCATTGGAGGTTAAGTCTAAAAAGCTAGTGTGACCTTGACCTTGATTTCAAATTCAATGTTACATACAAATGAACAAGAGCAAGCAGTGCCTCTTTATCTTTAAAAAAGCTTTTTTAATAATTTATTAAGGGAAATTAATTATTCTGATATCAAATACCTTTACTATTCGCAGTCTTTTTTCTTCTTAAATTAATATTCCAGAAATATCGGAAGTATTTCTTAGTTGGAACTTATTGATTTAGGTGCTATGCCAGCAATTTCCAACAATTGTAAAATCGAGAATAAATTGTTAACTGTAAATTTGAAAATTTAAATATTAATACCTATGCTCGCTCAAACGTTATGAAATTTGAAGTATTGCTTTTCACGTACTAATAGCAGAATAGAAGAAAGTTACGAATTTATTTACTAGATGGCGCTAGTTGAACACTGAGTTTATTCAAGGGGAAAATAGCGTTCTTCTTTATTTACTAATTTATTATTATTATTATTTTTTTATTTTGTAAAACCAAAAGAAACTTGAAGCAAAATATTAAATTTAAACTCAATGTGATAATTTCGTTGGCACTTGTTTATGATGTTTATAATTAAATATTAAGATATTAAACATGAAAATAATCAAAATGAGTAATCGAGTATTATTGTTATTAGATTTTATTTCGCCAATTGAACTTTTTATAAATGGTTATATTTCTTTTTATGTAAGGGGTGCGATTAAGAATTGACAATACAGTATTATTTTACAATTGAAAATTATAGAGCAATTAAAATTTTTAATCAGCTTTTTTTATTGTAGAATTTTTCCTTCCTTCTTACTCTTATTATTGTTTTAAAGTTCATATTTAAGGATTTTTCATTAGTTAAAATCCGAAATTCTATTTGATTGAAAAATTTAAAAAGAGGAAATGATGTTTTAAGATTTGTTTAGACAATGATTTTAAAATAAGGAGATTATTTTAAATTAAAATGTCCGATTAATTTAAAAATTCTACAAAGTATACTGTATGGTATAATTTATTAAGGAAATCGATAGTATTAAATTTTATACGATTTTTGTTTTATTTTAATGAGTTTATCTGACACTTCATTTTATATATTTTGAAATTTCATTTAAATTTATATGTTTAATAAATTTCGTTACATAATTACATGCTTTTTATAATTTATTTTTTATACTATTCAATTAAAAAAATGAATTCTGAAATAAATACACACTTTTACCGTATCTTTTTTTTAAATTTGTTATTGTTGAAATTCAAACTAATGGACTTTTATTCGCAAAATTTTTTTTTCGTATTTGATAAGAATTTCGTAAAATTTAACCATCAATTCTAAAAATAGCTTAAAAGTTAAATTTTTTACAATTAATTGAAGGCAAATTTTAAGGACAAATTTATAACAGGAAATTTTTGTCATGCTACATAAATTTAATTTATTACTAGATTAATTTTGATTAGAGCTGAATTAAACATTAGATTAATTTAAGATTCTGAACATTAATTTTTAAATTCACTTAAAAGAAATTACTTGCTTTAAAAAATTTCAAAACGATTTTCCAAATAAAAAGATTAATTTTTAAATAACGAATTCATTCAATTTAAAAGTTTAGATTAGTTTAAAAAGTCCAAAACCGCTATAAATAGAATTTAGTAGAAGTTTAGCTTGGAGGATANTATATATTTATTTACTTTTTTGAAATTATGAATTTTTATTTTAGGATTTTGGAAGTCATATTAAATTTAAATATTTAACAAAATTTGTTCTTGAATTAATTATTTTTTACAGTTTATTTATACTGGTTAAGTAATTTAATTTAATTCCTCCAGATACTTATACACTTTTATACGTTTTCATTATTTTTTATCAAAATGTGGTAACGATACCGTTTAAAAATTGTAAATTTTATAGCAAAACAAACTGGTTTTAACTTTAAACAATTAATTTAATTTTTTTTCTTCATTTTCTTTTTTAAAAAAGAAAATTACCATACACTTTTAAAATGTAAAATATTTCATGCGTTTTCAAATTCTAGAAAAATCCATTTTTAAAAACGAGTTTTATTTCAACGGATAAAGAAATAATATTCGTAAAATTGAATAACAAGCTTAAAATATTATCACGTCCAACACAATACCTTTTTCCTCACATAAAGCTTAAAAAATTTTTCCTCGAAACTTTCACCCGTGGTTCATCGACTGATAAAATTAAATCAAATTTCCACGGATTTAAGACCAGAATTTGTATACACCCCCTATCTGAATTCAAATCACCTTCGTGGAGCCAAGGGTGAAGGGAGATTGGGGCTGCACAAGAAATAGATGGGGTGTTTTTTTATACTTAAAAAAAAAAAGATAGAGAGGGGGGAAAAATCGAGGGAATAAGAAACTGTTGTTCGGAGTGAGCCCGCTATCATTTCGGTTGGAGAGGTAATGAAATTCGTTATCTCCACGCAGACTATTAAATTTTTGGGGATTTTGGAAAATGCTATTTGGCGGGAATTTCCCTGCGGAGATTTAAAATCGAGTCCAATAGCAAATCCCGTTTATAGGAAACGGAAATCTCCAGAATAAATGCGACTTACATGGGAGTTTCGGGCTGCGCTATGTATCTTTTCTTTTGTTCTTTTGAAACATTTTTTATTACCTGTCCTTCTTTTTTTATCGTAATACTCATAAATTTTTAAGTATTTATGTCAGAGTTTTTCTGTATCGTCGTAATTTTTTCCTTCCGGTTATGATGTTACAGTCTGTTGTGAGCTTATTTTTCCGGTATTGTAAGTTTATATCAAAAACTGGTTAAATAGACATGCATAATTTAATTTGAAATAGTATGGAGTGAATGTTAAAAAAAAAAAAAAGACTTGTAGAGCACAAGGATTCATTTCAAAAATTGGATTTTTTTGCTAGGCTTCATAAGTATCAACAATTAATTGAAAAACAAAAAATTGTCTACGTAAATAAGGATTTAGTAAGAAAACAATTTTAGGTTTATTAATAAAAAAATAAATTAAAAGATAGTTAAGCAAAATAAAAGTAAAATCAATCAGTTACAATATTTTTTTTTGAATGTGTAATTGCACTAATATTAGTAATTGCACTCAATCCCAATTAGATTCAATTGAACTCAATCTCAACTGAAAACAATTAAAAAAAGGGTAGACTGAAAACTATACTGTAAAAAACATCGGTGTTTCATTGGCAACATTTTTGATGTTGAGGTAAACTAACATTTTTTACAGTTCATGTAGTCATATCTCTTATATACTTTTTCATTGTTATAGTTTTATTTACACATTTTTTGTTTGTTTGTATACTGACCACACATATTTTTATGAGCACATTTTTAATATGAAAAAAAGGGCATTTTTAGTAATATGTTCGAACTAATTCTTTCAAAAAATTATAATTTTGTCACTTTTAAATAATTTTTTTGCCTGATAGCTATTGTTCTTTACTTAATGTAATTGTATGACTCAACAACAAAAATGGTGGTAACTTTGCACCAAACTTTTTCGCAATGTAGGCTCATTGTAATATTACAAATGGTTTTGAAACATTTTTTAATTAGTAAATATTTTGTTTAAAATATCTATATAACCGTAAGAAATACCGCAGAATTTTTTTTCTTTTTTTCATTTCGAAAAATTGAGTCTGGTCTGCATCGTATAACGCTTATTTTATACTTTTATTTTAAGGAAAAAGTATTTTTAAATCATTTTTAAAACTGATGTTTATTAAAATAACGTAAAATAAAGCGAAAAGCTATTAATTCATGAAAAATATTAAAATATTATAGACTAACTAAATTTTAGAGGACCAATTCAGTTTTGTGTATAGCGCAGATATGTTCCAAAATAATATCGTTTGATCGTGATAAAGGTA